ACATATGTTTATGCTTTATTGTTGCAAGTACACCTTTAGCGTTCAATCGTAGGTGTAAACAAATAAAGAACGCAAAATTTCAACATTTTGTCATTATGGACTGCTGACTTTTATGATTGTGTTACCAAAATTTGTCCCGATCATCTGAAGATTTACAAATCCCGACATGGGCCAGCCCAAATGAGAATGCTAACATGAACCTGGCCCATTCCCGGAATGGGCTGATTTCTGATTTGGGCCAGAACATATACAATTCATTGCAAGTGCTTATAAAAGGGTTTATATTAATTGGCAATATTGTTGTAAATTCACCAAATGGCTTTCTTACGACTTTGATATTCGTTTTCTTTATTTCAGTTTATTTGCATATCCGACGTCCAATTATAAGCTAATTTTACTATAAAATCGGTCGGTTCGGTGAAAGGGCTATCCGAAACTTCTCCATTACTATCTATTACTAATTACCCCCTACTTGTCAACTATAAAAACGGACATTTTGGTAGCCCTTCTCCAAAAAAAATTGTCGCCTTTGTCAATGCATGTAACTTCTGCACAAGCCTTAACTCCAATATCTGCAAGCCCATTATTGCCAATGAATTTATGTCGCGGGTTCAAGTGGACTTGATCGATCTGAGAATTCAGCCGGATGGTGACTACAAATACATAGCTCATGCCAGAGATTATTTCCTGAGCAAGTGCAAATCCAAGATCTAAACACTGGGTACTGCAAGCGTTCAGTATAATGCAAATTGGCAAAACGAAATTCTATTACTAAAAAGATGTGTGTGTTAGAGAGAATATGTGCAATGTAATCTGTTTTAGTATTCAGCATTAACAAATAACTGCTAGTGATAAAAGCGTCAACTAATTAGAAACACTAATTTTCTTCGCTTATTGCATGAAGTGATATAATGGTTTTGGGATGAATGGACCATATGCATAGTTACAAGTTGCGCTATTGAAAATATAACGCTAAGTAAAAAAATGCTTGTTATACATATTTGGTATAATCTACAAAATATCTATTTGCTAAAAAATCGAATATGGGTCAACAGAACGGGTCATAATCCTAGAACGGGTCGTAATATTATCACAAATTTGCAAAAAACCGAATATGGGTCAAACCGTTTCAGGGATCCCGAAATGGGTAGAACGGGTCGTAACATCTCCATTAAGGAAATGCAATTTGTATATCTCTACTACAGACGTCCAATTATAAGCAAATTGGAGGCAGTTTTATTATAAAATCAGTCGGGTCGGTAAAAGGTATGTACGACTTCATTTCCGACCGACAAGTAAAATGATATTTAATATTTATAATTGTGCTATCCGTTACTCATGTCTCCATTACTATTACTATCTATTACTTATTACCCACCTACTTATATGGAATCGAACAGACTATCTGCTGTGTGTTAATCGTTCCATGTGACCAGACCATACTCTTGACATAGATGTCGACAACTATAAAAACGGACATTTTGGTAGCCCTTCAACAAAAAAAATCAATTCAAAAGCCATGAATCAAAAATTTATCTATGTATTCTTCCTGTTGATTATGATATCCATAATCAAGGCTATTCCGTATCAGTTTTATAAAAGAGCTACTCAATTTACAGGATGTTCTGATTTCCCTTCACCAACATTCACCATGTCAGTTTCACCCGATCCTATCATCACCGGTGGATTCAATACATTCACTTTTTCCGGAACTTTGCCATTTGATGTTGCTAAAGACTCCAGTGCTGAATTTTCTGTTACTTTCCTCGGCTCAGATGGCAAAATATTGGATTATCCCCATCGTACACTTATTTGTGACATTACCGGATCGAATTGTCCAATAAATCAGGGTACTACTTTTACTTTATCGTGGGGTGTTTTAGCACCGAAGGATCCAGCTACTACAATTCAGGTTCAAGTTAAAAAAGATAGTAAAACTAGTATTATGTGTGTTAACGGAGTCAATTCTTAATTATTTCTTCTAGTAGCGTTTTGTATGTTTATTTCATTTCTTGTTCGGTGAAACATTACATGTATTTAATGATTCAGAATAGGGTCGACATTCCAAATGTAATACAAATCATTGCTATTGAAACTTAAATAAAAATTGATGGTTTTTTATGATAATGAATTAAAAATAATTAACCTTTCGAGCATTATTAAAAGTCAACTCGTTGAACGAAAAATACAAACCGTATAAGTAAACCCAAAATTACACAATATTTTTAGTTCAATTTTTTATGAGTATTAACGAGAGTTAGGTGTAGAACCACACGTTAACAATTTAATTTAGCAATCCATAGGACTTGGTTTACGTAAAATCTATTTTTGAGATAATCACAAATCATACTTAATATTCTCATTTGATTTTTTACTTGATTCCGCGAAATCTATTTTTGAGAAAATTTTGACATGCGTCTCAACAAGAGTTATATTTGACCACATTTAAATTTTACGAACACAAAATCCTTCATTGTGATGTAACAATAGATTTATTAATTATGTTATGTATCACACGTTTTTGTCGTTGACGGTAACAAATTAATTATCATGAAATTGTACCCAACATGGTGAAACCTCTCTAAACCGACGCGGAGTAAACCGTCTCGCGTTTAACCGGCTCCTAACGACCGTACCGAATTTTTATTAATTAAAAATTCTCTTTAAATCGGCGCGATTATTTAGCTACACAAGTGTAAATCTATATAAATTTTTTCGTTAAACCGGCATAATCACGTGGATATTTGAGTTGTTAGTCCATAATCATGTTATACAGCGAAAATATTTTCCAAATAGAATGATGAATTTCCGATTAACAACAATCCGACAATTTCCCACGACATTAGTAGATGACGCCAATTATTGCGCGATATAGAATTAAAAGAGTGGAAAACCTTCAACAAGGAGTTTTAGAAAGATTTTTCGATCGTACTCCTGCAGAGTCCCTGTCTTTTCGGCTTGTCGAATTGTTATTTCATGCTGTTGCATGTTGTTGTTTCCATCACAAATAAAGATGTTAGTCAAATTTATTAATAACCAGAATATTATCTTTTTGGGGGCTGCGCCCCTCGCGTAATTGTTAATTATTCTGGGATAAAAAATATTCGTTTGTTATAAGTCACACAGCCTGGTATTTGTCTGTTGTGACTGTTTGTGTGGTTGGAGAAGTAACTATGGTATGGAATACCGGCGACGTTTACAAGATGGTGTTCGACTTCTCAAGATAACAATAAACAATTGAATTGTTTTAAACGGTGTTTATTACGATCTTGTGCAATACAAATTGGCAATTTAAAAGGAAAAAATTGTTAATCATGTTTATTCGTACAGTAAAACATAGGTTAATGTTTGTGTTTGTTTGTCTACTATTTACTTGCTAATAACTATAATAATCCTGGATAGATAAATCAATTAAATAATATAGTTGGACAATTGTCTAAATTAGGTAAAGTATATGTGAAAGACGTTAGTATATTATCTCATATTGTCGGATTAGGTTTTTATTTTCCGCCAATAACTAATGATATATATGTGATACAGTACATGTGATTACAATGATCGTCTATCATTAGTTGTAACGGGTGAGCGCAATATGATCATGATCATGCTTTAGAAAGTGATCAGCACAAGAATAAATTAGAATGCCGTATTAGAATAGTAAATAACTGATTATCTATCTTACAGTAAACCTCTTAGTTGACTTCAATATTTACGTATAATAGTAAATAAACAGCCTATGGAAGTATTTTTTTTTAAGAAATGAGGCAAGGTAAATAAAGATTATAATGCTATATACATTATACTATACATATTTATACTAGGTGCATTGTTCTGTTCCCAGGAAAATAGGTAACTCTTTATTGTTAATATTAATAGTGAATGCGAACAGTTAATTGATAGAGTCGTGAGAACGTTTGTGGTGGTGTTATTAACATGACTAATAACAATGCGTACTTTACGAGTGTGTAATAGAGATTGCAAGCAAAAGATTTATGGTAATTTACGTATCCCAAAACTGTTATTATTTTATTAATTATGAACGTATAATGTATTAAGTTTATTATAAACAATGTACACGTATATATACTAATACCGTAATAAATCTTGTGGTGCATAAGCACTCTCCCTCCTCTGCTTTATAAATGTAACTACTGTTCTAATGGTGGTAGGTCATGCTTATATCGGATAAAGATAAAAATAATAATAAGATAAAAAAGATAAAAATGGTCGCAAATGATCTACAAATAGCAATTAACGAAAAAGGTAATATGGGAAAAGTCGCTTTCAGGTGATGGGGACGAAAATTTACTTTACTTTAAAATAAATTAATTAGATACGTGTATTTGGATCGGGAGAAAAATTCGAACAGAAACAACAAAATACTGTACATCCAGCCACTTACACTGTCCAGAACGCTGTAAAGCAACATAAGTTAAAGGATATGGCCATAGTTTTGACAAGAGAATACTGTCTGACATTCTAGAATCATACCTTAAACGAGTGCGACTGGCAATGAAAACTACCTGCCGTCGGCGCTTTCGCCCAAATACAAGCCTATACATTAACGCTTTGACACAAACGGAAGAATTTTATAAATAAGAACTTTGAAGATCTAGAAATCAAAGGACTTTGGATTTGTGAACTTTTAATTTGTATGTGAATCGTCTCGACGTGAATTAATACTCAATGGTGAATTCTAAATGGGATTTATTCTTACAATTTTTCCTCCCCTCTAGTCTCCCAACTACCTCAAAACATTTTGAACCTTATTACTGAAAAGACACGGCGATAGACCTGAGCCCAACGTCACCCGACGTCAGAAGCCCCGGCATCAACGACTAATATGAGAGATGGCGATTGATGTCGATGTCCTGCGTTTTTTTAAGACTTGCATGACGACAACCATTACATAAAGAACTTTTATCTCCTTCGGTTGAAACGAGACGGTGCTTAATCAGCTCGGGCTAAAATGGAGAAGACAGTCGATAATTTAAAAGATGAAGTTAAGACAATGCCAAACGAGCCGAAGCAATATATTTAAGAAATACGGAATTAAAAACCAGGTCTCGACCACAAGAGCAAGATTTATTAAGTAAATTATTCGGGATAAGAGGAGTCCTATGAGAGGCGAGAAGAACAATTTGTCAAATGGCTTCGGTGACATGTATTGTATAATGATATACCATGATTAAGAAAGAAGGATGGTTACAGTGCTGACTGAAAACACTTAACACGGATGGATGAATTGGAAGATTTTTGTTGAAGATATAGAATTACATAACGCAAACTGCAATGGATGATCAAAAGTATTCGTCACTAAAATGGAAAATAGGGCTTCGGCCAATAGGAATGAGGACGGATCAATTATATGATTGGATGGGAATCCTTTAAATAAAGATTGCGACCTGGTCTTTCCCTTACAAGATATATCCATTGACGTTTATTACTAGCCTTCCAATTTAAGTAAGTTTATGGCATAACTGTATCAAGTAGAAAATAACATAATGGAATTACACGTGCAATTATTAAGAAGTCCACAATAACAAATTATACGTGCTATGGAACTCATGCTATAATGGAGTTCATGGGTTGTGCCCAACGTTCCATTATAACGAGCTTTGACTGTATAGAGTTCTCGACTCTGCGTAATTATTCAATCATCTCTCCTCCAAATACACTTGTCAATTTGCCCGTACTGCGCAGTGCTAGCTTGTATGATCGATCCACCCAGTAGACTATTTTTGGCCTATATGTGGTTTATTTTTAGTAGCTGTATGTATATGGTCGTCTGAGCTTTCATTAAGCCCGCCAATTTCCTTTGTTATCAACCAATAAACTCAAAAAATACTTAACTTAAACCAAATTCACCAAGACATGTGTTTAATGGGAAGTCAATTTTGATCTGGGCATATTCTCAAGACTTACTTAATCGCAGCCATGCATTTTCCTAAGAAGGTGTGGGACTAATATTAATGTGACGTACAGTCATCCCTCTCTACAGCCACACCATCGGTTTTCCTGAAACTAGTGACTGTAAAGAGGGTGCAACTGTAGAGAGTGCTTTCTATACAATCTCAGCATATATACAATATTGCAAAGTTATAAAAGGGTTTATATTGATTGGCAATATTATTGTAAATTCACCAAATGGCTTTCTTACGACTTTGATAAACACTCTTGATAACTCGACTCGTCGGGGCGAAGACCGACTTATTGAGAGATCTGATTTATCGAATTTCATAATTTTTAAATAACTTCCACCCTTTTATTTAATAAGCAATAATAATAATGTCTTCCAATTTGATGTTTTAGGTTATTCATTCTCGAGATTACTGTCCAAATATAATTTGATGCTATCCAAAACAACCGTATTGCTTATGGTTTCTTCTTCTTCCGGTACTGCAGCAAAAATGACGAAAACTATGAAACAAAATCATTGGATAATTAATTGTATTGTATTTACTAAAACGGTAAAGATTATTTCTCAAAAAATTACGTGGTCCGACTTGTATAAGCCGATTGAAAGGGTTGTCCGACTTACAGATTTTATATGTATGTCCGACTTTTAAATAGTCGAAAAAAGATTTGTCCAAGTTGAGCCAAATCCGGCTTATCGAGTGTCCGACTTATCGAGAGTGCCTATGTATTCGTTTTCTTGCGACTTGCAAATCCAATTATAAGCAAATCGGAGGTAATAGTAATTTACTATAAAATCGGTCGGTTCTATCCGAAACTTCATTCCCGACCAAATGACAAGTAAAATAATATTTAATATTTATGATTGTACTATCCGTTACTCATTTCTCCATTACTATCTACCCACCTACTTGTCAACTATAAAAACGGACATTTTGGTATCCCTTCGACAAAAAAAATCAATTCAAAAGCCATGAATCAAAATTTTATCTTTGTATTATTTCTGTTGATTATGATCTCCATAATCAATGCTATTCCGCATCAGTTTAAAAGAGC